TTCATTTTTTAACATATAGCATATGCTATTTTAGTCATATATATTTATTTTTAACATCCAGCATATGTTATTTACACCATATTATCATTTGAACGTGCTATATATGATATTTGAATCATATATTTATTTTAACATCCGGCATATCCTATTTAAATTATAGATCCATTTTTAACATCGGGCATACAAAAACCAACCTGTAAAATTGACTCTGTACTTTTATTTTAGTACCTGCATACTGCAGACATCATTGAAGATTTCAATCAACACTGATTTAATTTCTTATCTAGCTTTAAATTGTTTCATGCTAAATTCATTTTATTTTAATAGACAATTTACAAGACATATATTACATAAAAACATACAAGACTTAACAATGATAAGAAATATTCATACATTTCCAAAACAGCTTTAGATTGATTGTTCTGAGTTGTATTTACCAATCCAAGTACGTGTAGCTTTAATGCTCATCACTGAATAATCAAAGCAGTGAATCTGAATAATCCTGAATGTCATGAATCAGTAAACATAAAAAAAATATCAAATATGATTGATGTATTTATAGGAAGCCACTGGTGCCGTATGTATTGTAGAATTTCATATCACCATATGTATCACAGGGCGCTATATTTAATGCGTGAGTTAACAATTTAACACTGTTTCATAGATACATGAATTTTAATCCTGTAAAAGCCTAATGTAATATCATAAAAGATAGCACTTGAAAACACGAAACATAGCTGATTTTGATTATTTAAAATGTTGATGGACATTTATAATCAGTTTTTTGTTTAATAATCTAAACATTAAAATACATTAAAGAATGTTGGTCGTTATAATACATTTTGAATGTTGGTAGTTTAGATGACTCAGTTCCGAGGCAGCTTCCCGGGAATTACAAGTAGCTGTGTAAACTGATAGAAAAATGTAGCCATTTGCGGTATTTCATTTTTGATCAACAACATAGTTCACTGCAAAATGATATATTTTATTTTGACACCGCACAAGGTTGCATGTATCTTTGTAAAACTAGAAATCGTAATAAACACCTTCTTAAAAATAGACAGAATTCATCGTCCTGTTTTATCTGTAAAAAGACCCAAGAATGTGTTAAGATATCAAACATATCGGTTTGTCCTGCATTTCTTTATGGAACAAATATATCATTGTGATTAATATTGATTATTTGAACAAAATATTTTGTATAAAAATCAAAAATGAAATCAGTTTGGGCATTAAAATGTTTCCATAAATGGCAAAATAATATGCGACTTATAATTAAAGCCATGAATAATTAATTATAATATTTCAAAATTGAGGTTAACTCCTCCACAGAATTTTAAAAGCCATCGAACTAACATGTCAATAAAAGTGGAACAAATTTTCAAGCTAAGTAACATTTGTAGACAATAATCGTTGAATTAAACATTGTTAATACTGAAATGAAAAACTATGACGAATATAAAACTGTTTTCAGCAAATAACAAGTGACTCCTTATACATGTATTTGTAACTGAACCATTAAGACTTTCCGACGACCCTAAGGTGGAACCAATAGAAAGCAGCTTTCATTAAATTTATTCGTTTTCTAGGAAGTAATAAAAACTTGTATTTTTAAATAATTAATATTTATTTAGATTTTGAACTAATATTTTGCCATTGTTTGCAAATGAAATAAGTTTGCTGTAGAAAATATATGGCGCTGTTTTTATTTTGGACCCATACATTTTACTAAATTACTTAAAGCAACTGATTTTTGCTTTTAACATTTTCTTTAAACAATATGCGCTAAAATAGACTTCTTTGTCATATGATCGAGAATTATTGCGCATCTCCTTCAACTAAATTCAATGACCATACTTATGTGAGGCATGTAATGAGCTTTAAACAAAAACATCTTCAAAGATATGTCAATTCGTGTGAGTACTATAACTGTGTGAGTGGTGCCCAAACAAACTAACTCTGAAGACATATATCTATGTCATATGTTCTTTAAATCAATTTATACTGCCAAAGTTCCAACTCAATACGACACTTTTCGGTTTACATAGAATCATCGTAAAATGTGATAAACAAGGGTATATTCCTTTACAGATATTTAAAAGCCATCAAAATATCATGCTGTCCAGTCAGCTTGGCAAAGATTGTTAAATTAAACATGTTCAATATCAAAATAATACTATTTTGATAGGGAAGAGTCATTTGCATCCACTACAACTCACCAAAAGACACATTTTTATTAGGATTTAAATATTTCTATATTATATCAAGAGGTTTATAAAGTATTGGCGCCAAATTTATTACATGGCGACAAATATTCATATAAAATGTCGCCTTTGTGAAAGGCAAATGATTTTTAAAAGCTTTTAATATCAATTTCTACCATTAAAATCCTAAAGAAAGTGATATTAAATGATCATTTGCTGACTTTGGTTTTTGCTGAGAATGCCAAAAGAGGAGGCACGACTTTAGCAGGATGTTTTATTCACCTTTTATCCCTTTACTCTAAACAAGTTTTCCTCTATTTATCACCCTTTTTCTCATGTCAAGAAAGTATCTTAAATTTGACAAAGGCAATAATTTCTTACACATTAGACATATTCAACTCCACATTAGGATCATTTACAAGTTATTACTTTCGTAGTAGTTATTTGTTATCTTACTGTAAATATATGTAACGTATTAAATGCAGGCAAAATGAACAATGATTACAAAATTAATCTTATATGTTGTTACTAAAATGAGTTGTTGATATGTTTTACAGAAGAGAGATTCTTGCAAGCGCTAGCTTTGTACTCAAATATGCATTGCTATTTTGTATTGAAGAAAGGGAGAAGAAACAAATATTGTTTTAGCCAACAGTATGTTGACCTTTATTTTGGGGTGGTGGTGTTATATGGCTGAACTTTAAAGCCTTTTAATACATTTTCTTTGAAAATAAGCTTGAATCTGGAGGCATGCTATTTCAATGTCTATATGTGCTATGTGGTGTCCTACAGCCTCTGTTGCTGATACGTGAATTAAAAGTTAATTTCCCCCTTAGGCCGTGACATGACATATCTTACATAACTAATATCAGCTGAATATTAAAAAGAAACTGTTTTGTCGGCCCATATAACATTTTTTACTGTATAGAGATAGATTATACTAATAAATACTTAGATATATTGGTTAACGAAAGAACATAATGTATTTAACAAAATATGTATGTAATAAAACCACTGTCATTTTATTCATAAAGCTATTAAATATCTCCGCATTGATACACAAAACTTACACTTTTAATTGCCTTACTTAAACCTTTTTTTATATTTAATCAAATATCTCGTTAATTTAATATTTCTTATGGGTAAAGAAATGGAAAAAAAATCACAGTTATCATCATCAGTATAGTAAGTTATATATTGCATTTACAAATTATTATCAAGAATCAGTCAATAAGGTCGACGTTACTTCCCTTACATTGTAAACCATGAATAAACCATATGAAATTACTGTATTTTTTATTACTGTATTGTTTTCTGTTTTATTTCATATTAATTATTAGTTAATAATGGTTTATTTTTCTACAGCAACTCCTAAATTTACCAGAGTGACTTTAAATTAAATTGTTTTTGTCTTGATAACAATCAACATATAATGTGTTCTAATTTTAAAACGCTATATAAAAGGTATCGATAATGATATTAGTGTAACTTTGCTTTTACAAGACAAAACTATGTGCATGATATTGAAAGAAACTTAGCTTTTGAATAATACTTAGAAGATCAAGAAAAGAAGAAGAGAAAATGCTTAAAAAAACGACACCAGCAGCATTGGTTTTTTTTCTTATCCATAAATATGAAGGCAATGTGCCGGAAATACCTAAAGGTGTCAAAAAAGGACGTAAAATTATGATTGATCAATGTTTTACCGACGCTGGTGAATATCATTGACTAATAAATCATCCTTAAACATATGATGACAATGAAACGTCATCAACCAAACCTTAAACCTAATACAAGAGCAATGAGATATGAAAGTACTAAAGATTTCTTGGACATAAGTAATTTGATGGAGTGTTATTTAAATACTTTTGTGTAAGAAAACATTAGTACGCTCCGCTTAAACATTTCTTGTCCCCGAAATAGAAAGATAGTATTTTACTATTGAAATTATCTTTGGGAATTGAAAAAAGTACATATTAAGAACTTACGGCGTGGGTAGAGGAACAAAACTAAACAGTTATTGTTTCATTTCACCGACCACTTTTTGTAACTTATGTTTTTTACTCCTAATCAGGATTTAAGTGGTAGAGTAAAATTATTTTCAATTAAAATCCAGACTTATATATTTATGTACGAAATATGTGTGTATAAAAATTATGCAAATAAGCTTGTATATTGATACTTAAAGAGATGCACGTAAATGCATTTTTACAGACCTGTATACAAATTAATTGATAAAAATACTGCCATTTATATTTTAAGGTGTCTGCAATCGAATTGACAATGTGAAGGTCACATTGAAAACAATTCGTTGTAACATAAAGTTTGCTTAAACGTAGAAGTCCTATGTACAAAAAACAAAACTTTAATAAATTTGTAGTCAAGCTCTGTCTTTTAAAATTAAATTCACAGTTATTTCTTTCTGATGATTCAAGTTTGCGCTCAAAAGGCTCATTTACATTGTATTTTAAGCAACTTTACATTTGTTTGCACGCATATCTTCTATACTCTTGCATATGAAAATCTTATTTTATTTAGGACAAAAATTACTTCTGATAATGATTGTTTGACAGTTTTGAATACGTGTTTGCCACGAGTTATGTTTCAGATTTACATGCTTGTTTAATGTATTAATATGCTTTATAATGGTACATGTATACCTGACTTTTTAAACCACTTGCAATTCATAGCAAAGAATCTAGATAAAATTATCAAAATGAAAAATTGAATAACAACATCAACACAATAACAGCATAAACAATCAAAAGAAAACAGGAATAAAGAGAAATATACAGATCTGATTTCAAATGTTTATTTCAAAGAATATATTAAATAACTATTTAGACAGCAAATGAAAGTCATAAGATGACTCTGGATGGATCAGAATGAATAATAAAATACTTAAGTGATATGTTGAGGCAGCTGATGCCGTTTCAATTGATATTGTCTTTAATGTAAACTCTCATTCACTGATGTTCATGTCTCTTTTATCAATGGAATAATGAGTCGTGTCGATCATGTCGATCAATTCCATTAACTGATACACTGACTCTGTTTCTACGCGATCCAACTCCATTACTTGCAGTTCTTCCCAAACAGATGTTAAACTCCCTGCATAGACGACGCCTCATTCTTCGCCTCCTTCTTCTTTGCCTCTGTGTCAACCTTCCCTGTGTGTTCTCGCAAACATCTTCCGGACAGCCGAGACAGTAGGTACCAAAACCAGATCGCATCACTGGCGTATATTGACACCTTCGAGGAATTAGCTCCAGGGAGCAACGATTTCTTGGACATTGTCGGAGTGCTTGTGGATTTAGTTGTCCTAAATGTGACAAGTGACCGTCATGACCGCCTGATACAACTATTTGGCCGGTACCCAACGGGCGTCCAAGAGGTCGAACTCCATGAATGGATGGTAATAAACTTTGCGATATTCTCCCACCTAATCTATCATCTAGCCTGTCATCGATCCTCACTTGTCGGCCGTCAATGTAACCTATTCCCGTATGAAAATCGTGCAACTGACCTGAAATACAATTAGGGTAAAATTGTTGTGAGCTATTTGAGATAATGTTGTTTATATTTTATTCATTAAAAACCCTATTTTGAATTAACTTAATTATTTAGGTTAGCGATCGCTATATAAAATTGACTAAATAATATATGTTTCAAGCGCTGGAAAATGTAAAGATAAGCGTTCATTGTTTTGAATCAAGACAAAGTTTAATGTGCTAAACAAAATAAAGGCACGTTTAATGTGTTAGATAAAGTAGACAATATAATTATTAAGAATGCAATATTAATATTTAACAATATAAAAATAATAACGCGTTATATGAAGTAAACCATATATGTTTATTGCAAAAATATAAGCATACGAGTAGAATGCGTTAAGTAAAGCATGTGAAATATATATTTGATTGAAATCGATCGCAATATTGAAAAAGCATGATTGTAACTTGTAAAGAATTCTTTGAAATGAAATGTCGCGTATATTTTGTATATTTACAGTAAAAAAAATGTCGTTACAAATGTAATATTTATCAAAACAAACTACGGGAACACGATTAGTATTAAGAAGGTACTTACCAGTTGCAAACTTGGCGCAGGCACATACAAAAATTAAAAACTTGAGAGCCATATCCAGTATGTTTCTGAGTGCTGATGATTTCTGTTAAAGGCAAATCATTTTATATCAAAGTCGGCATAAATATGTACGTAAATATAGTAATTTTTGATTTGTCGATTTACAATTTACGTTATACACATGTTATATTTTTGACATTTTATGCAGTTTTTTGACAGTCGGTGTCACACGCAGCGGACTTAGATTTATGACGCGCGCATAATTAGCTTTATTAGCCAATCATATTGCATGTTACAATTGTCGCAACACGTGAGTTATAATTAGTAGCATACATTGTTATTTTTATTCAAGTCCGAAAAAAGAATATTGTTACGATATGAATGTATAATATAACATTTGTACATACGTTTCAATACAATGATCGTCTGTCTTTCAAGTTTGTTTGATTCAAAACTGCGTCTTGAATATTTCGTTTTCGTTCTATTTGTTTTATATGTTTTTTAATATGTTATTCAATATACTAAAATATGATATTGTAAATGTTTTATAATATAATAATTCAATATCAATTGAAATATGTAAAGACAAATAAACAACAAATTTATTTTTTTGCTCTAGGTTTCCATAAGGTATAATTTGTATGTATAATATATGGTTTTATTTTGTTTTATCTTGTTTTAATTGAAGTATTTATTCAAAGTAATTAAATGTATTTATTTTCGCTAATATAGATATTTCGATTTTAAACAAGGTGTTTACATTAAGTTATTTTAAGATAAAAGAGATACGAATTTTGTTACTGTTTTATTTATCGTAATCGAATTATTCTCCGACGTTACTTTTTCTCTAGTACAATAATTTTCTTTCTTTAAACTACAAAAAAACACAAACCATACGATTTTCGAGTTGTTCTTTAAATTTAACACTTTAACACTTATATTAACACTTAAATAAACGTAGATCTTAAAATACTATTTGTTATCTTCTATAACATGAGCGGTGTGTATATATATGGAAGTACGGTAAACATATGCATAAATATCATAATATAAATATGGATAAAATTGAGCCGCGCCATGACAAAACCAACATAATGGGTTTGCGACCAGCATGGATCCAGACTAGCCTGCGAATCCACGCAGTCTGATCAGGATCCATGCTGTTCGCTTACAGATCCTATAACAAGTGGAGAAACCGATAGCGAACAGCATGGATCCAAATCAGACTGCGCGGGTGCGCAGGCTGGATTGGATCCATGCTAGTCGCAAACCCATTATGTTGGGGTTGTCATGGCGCGACTCAAATTATTTTTACTTTTTTAACTACATAATGTAATGCTGATATTAGTGACAAGTAGTTTCTTGTAAGTACGATTCTCTTGTTTGTTTTAATTCTTATATAGAATGGTTATGTAAATGTTTTATAGAATTCTTTGTATATAGATGAGACTTAAATAAACAAATAAATATATATCAAAAACAACGATAAGTAAAGCGGTATTTTACTTTCTGAACCCTCAATATACCTTTTTGCTAATTAAGGAAGTAATACAGTTTGCCTACTAAATGCTGCACACGTAGAAATTAACATGGTCAATAATTGATATTATATTTGATCATAAAATTGTTGACATTTCAGAAAAGTGATAGCAACATAAACGCAACAGTATCGTAATGATGTGCTATGAAACGCTCACTTGTAGATTTAGTATTGGATTTCGCCTAATTAATGGGCGTGTCATATATTCCGCAGAATTCGGAGGCGGAGCATAAATCGAAATTGAGGCTGACAGAATGCAATTATCTTTGAGGATTAATGGTCTTTTTCCTAACAAGCAATATCCTGAAATGTAAACAGAATAGAATAATTTTGTACTATCAATATTTTGCCCACGTAGTCAGTAAGCAATATTATTCCCGAAATTGGATAACAATTTAGTAAAATTAGACGTCATGCTATTGTTTGGCTTTATAGAAGAACTGTAAATAAATTTGGCAGAAAGGCGACGAAGGATTATGTGATCCACTTGTAATCTTGTAAGTTTTATTTCAGGGCAAAATTAAAATCAAATCGTTCTTCCAGTGATTGATACCTGTTGAGATATTCCTTTCTATTTGTACTAAATAATTGAAGGTTTACTTACTAATATTCAGATTTTATTACTTTTTTTGCTTTAAATTGTTTTCTCAACAAGTGTTTAAGCCTCAGTAGTTATCCTGGTCTTATTGCATATCATTTTTACTCTGTCGGGCATACATATAATATACTTTATCTAAACATAAACATTTAGATTAATTAATATTTACCATAAGTATTTCAATCTAAGGAAACCAGTTAGGGACCCTTTCTTCCACAAAGCTGAAACAGTTCCTACATATAAATTATCTAAAATAAACTTTGGCCTATTCATATATATCGTTATTTTTAAGATATTGCACACTGCTTAAAATAATTGTTGTAAAGATAAATATATTGTATTTCAACTGACGTGGTCGTCGATCTTGTTTCTAGTTATTTGCACACTTTTATTGGTTTTGTTTATCTTAGGTAATGTAGCAAACGTCCTACGATTTGATTTGTTGATTTGATTTTTAAAAACTTTTGTAATATAAAGATTTTTTATATATCTTGACTTTCAATTTTTATGAATTTTTTGGGGATTCCAAACATGTTAAGGATGTGAGCTCGAGAAATAATAGTGTTTCCACAATTGCAGAAATTAATTTGATGATGAAAAAAATTCATCATTTTTGTGAAATATTACCGTCTGTTCACATTGAACAGTGAGGAATGCTGTAGTATGGTTTAATATTTATACCATTGTTACATTGTTACTGATGGTAAAGTAATCCCTGTTCGCTTTTTTGTTTGTTTGTTTGGTTCCATAAAATCCTTCTATGCATTGAAGTTGTTGTTATTTACACCAACAACCACCAGAAACGTTTCCTGAAGCATTAACCGTATGCATATCTTGAATATCTAAATTATATCTTATCTTTTATTTACTTTTTGTTTTATTTTCAGTCCACAGTCTTTGACATTTATTTCGGATTATAAATAAACGCAATAACTTCCACATATCTTTTACAATCGTTGTTTGTCCCCCATCCATAGCAACTGTTTCATTTGGTCGCCATCATACTGTCTACACATACGACCATTTATCATTACAACTATCATATCATCATATCACATTTATGAGTAATTACATCTGGTCAAACAAATCGTTGCTCGTCATATGTACCGTTTATAGGATAGTGAACGACTATAATTAGTTTTCATGACGATCTTGGTGGAGAAGCTATTGGGAAGATCTTGTCCGATAATTGGCCAGGCCAACCGTTTTATAACAATAACAAAAGGTTAATTGTGTAGTGAAGAAATATTTGCCTAGTCTGATTAACAAAGTATTTGGACATAAGTTTTTACTGTGCTCGATGAGGCCAAAAAGAAAGTGAACAACAATACTTATAAAAGTTTTTTCACAAGAATGGCATGGTGCTAATCAATTGTAAAACAATTGTTTGATATTTTAAAGTTTTCCGGACCGAGTTTAAATTCTGATTCGATTCTGTGTGGGTTTTTTGTTTGTTGTTGTTGTTGTTTTGTCTATTTAAACTTATTAACATACATTTATTCAGACGGTATAAATTTGTTGTTTTTTCTATCAAATTACAATTTGAGAATTTGATTTATGTCTAGTGGTATTTTAATATCTTAAAATAAGTACAATTGTAAATATGAAATTATTTAAGTTTCGTATGTGAAATTTGCTCAGTTGAAGTGAAAATACAATAAAGCTTGTGACATTTGCAAACCTAGGTTTAAAGCCCTATAAAGTATTAATTTATATAAAACATGTTTAAGTTTTAGCATGATATAAATGATGAATTGTACTGTACTATATTTTGAAAAGTATTTGCGTAACTATATTGTATATGTTTCAGTTTAAAACGGTATACGCATTTCTTCAGAAATACTAGATTGTACAGATTGTATGAATATGGTTTGCAATTATTCACCAGTAATAAATAATGAGTTATAAATAAAACAACACTATCTACTATTACCAACCACACACTCAAATATAGATATTATAACTGGTCAATAAAATGAAAAACTGTTTAATTAATCCCCACTCCTCACCAATGGTTATTTCATTAATTGACTTAATAGGCAGTTTAATCAACTTAGGCGAGCCCCAAAGTAATCACTACAGGCGTACGTAATGTTATGTAACGTATGACCATCCTTTAACCCTTATAAAAGATAGTCGAACGATTGCCTATCCCTTGGTAAAATGGTATATCTTCAATAAGAATTGATCGATCACTTATGATTACCATCATTGTTCGGGCTGCATTATGCATGTAGCGTAACAATTGTATCGAAAATACCATGTTGTATATGACCAAATTTATAAGAATGTCTAAGCCGCATTTTCAGCCCCGATTTTGATTTGAAAACTGTTCTAAATCCATGTATTAGTTTAAGTGAAATATTGCTTAAGTTAAAAGCAAACCAGGTCTTAACGATTCTTTTGTCAACCGTGCTGAGTTTCCTACCATTTAGGAACACTCGCAGGTTGTGCATGATATTTTCACTTACAACCCCGATCAATTAGGACCTTGACCTGAGTTTAGAAACAGCTTCGAATGTACTAATTTTTTCTAATAATTGTGTAGATGCTTTCAATAAAAATTTCAATAACAATGTAGAGCGCTGGTGAACATAGTTTGTGTTAAATGAGAAGTTGTTTTTTATAACAATATTTTCAGATTTATGTTGAGAGGTGGTTAACTTTAATTAAATGAAAAAGCAAAACCAATTCTTCTTATCTAAAGGATCTAGAATATCAAACCGATTTAATTGGTTATCATATGTTATCTTGGGTGGTTTAAAGAAAATTTTCTAAAAGAAATGAACCTGTTAGAATGATAACTATCTTATAACTTTCTTAATGTAAAGCAGATGAAGACATTAATAAATTTTACAGAAACAAGATGCAATAAACCATTAACAAAGCCATGAATCATGAGTGAAATTTTATAAGTTTTTTATGAAAATTTAAGGAACAAAATCAAATATACTATAAATAAGCGTCAACATAATAAACTTTGTGGCGTTTTGTGCTTAGAAAATGTAACAACTCAGATTGC